TACAAATGCGCTTTACACAATTGATGTGTGTATGGATTGGGATAACAGTTGTATGAGCCCCTAATAAAATGTTAAAAAAGAGAAAGGAAAAAAAAAAAAAAGAAGAGCTGATAGCAAGGGCTCAAGTAGAAAGAAAATGCTTTGAAAACAATGATGGCAACATATGTACAAATGGGCTTGACACAATGGATGGATGGATGGATTGTAATAAGAGTTGCACGAGCCCCAATAAAATGTTTTTTTTTAATGCGCTGAAAAACTGGGCTTATACACAAGTATATAGTGTAGTTTGATCAGTAATGAAGTCTCCCAGTGTCTGCCACATAGTAAATGTTCAGGGAATGTTGCAAGTAATTGCAATTGACTACAGTGACTCCAAAGGAATGGACTGGCACGTGGCCATCTTCTAAGGGAAGCCAGAGGTGGTGGCTGAAGCCCCTTCACCTTTGCTCCCCCTCCACCCTCTCACCTAGCTAGCCCTAGCTGTTGTGTAAGGCTCCCTCTTTGATTCTTCTACTTTGAAGCTTGCTTCTTGGCCCTCCATCTGGTCTTGACATCCAGATCCTGCTTGTCCATCCTGACCTCTCATCAGTGGCACATCTGCTCATGCCTGACTCCCTAATGAAGGCTTTCACCACATGGCCTAGCTCTTTGTGTTAGCTTGCTAGCCCCTCTGCCTTTCCATCCCTAGTCCACAATTTGCTCCTTTCAGACTTCCAACCTTCCTCCCACTAATCCTTTATTATCCACAAAATAGCCCATCCCCTCTCTCTCTGCCCTCTGGGTCTCAGCTCTGGGCCTCTGTCTTCCTGCAGTGCCCTCAGCTCTTTATTCTCCTCAAACATGTAGCTGTCAACAGTCTAGGGAATCTCATTTCTTTCCAGCAGCTTAGCAGAGCTCCTCAGGGAGAAGCTTTCCTTCTTCATGTTGGTACTTTGGGGAAAGTTTACATCCAGTCCCTTCCCACGAGATGCTGGGCGTTCTCGAATGCATCTGAAGAGGATATGTCTATATTTAAATTGCTGGACTCGTGGGGAGTTGCTAAGATAAAGCATATAAATCAGTTGGCACGGTACCCAGCTCCTGCAGGGCCAGCCTAGCATCCTCCCATGGGTTCTGGCAGGAGGCTGTTTCATTGTGCGCATGTCTGTCTTTTCCCATGTGTGGCAGTTCTTACAGAAAAGGCAGCAGGTCAAATTTACCTGTGCGCACTTGTCAGCCCACACAGCAGTGTTTTGAACATCTGAGGCAGTGGTTCTCAATCTTCTTCATGCCGTGACCCTTTAATACAATTCCTCATGTTGTGGTGACCCCCAACCATAACATTATTTTTGTTGGTTGTTCCTAGCTGTAATTTTGCTATTGTTATGAATCAT